CAAGTGCAAGGTTCCGAGTTTGATCCCCGGTACAAAAAAAAAACAACAAAAAATGCATTGTGTAAACATGTACTTCCCAAAATATTCTTCATAGGGCATACCTGGAAAATGTAATCCACTCTTGCATATAATTTTTTTTTTTTTGGTACGGGGGATTGAACTCGGGTCCTTGCTCTTGTGCAGCAGGTGGCGAAACCACTGAGCTAAATCCCCGGCCCTCATGCATATAATTTTTAAAATAGTAATAAAATACCATAACTATAATACAAAAGAAATAATTTGCAATTTTAGTGATGTTTTATGTAAATGATCATACAGCTTTACACTAGAGGACATAAGGAAATAGTCAAATGCTATGTTGCTTAACGTGTTCTGGTAGCTGAAAACATGACAAGAGAAGTTTCAGTAAATTCAGGAATTCCATTGAAACTGGCAAGATCAGCTTTGAAACCAAGACTCTTCCAAGAACTGTTTGTAATCCCAGCACTTGGGAGGCTGAGGCAGGAGGATTCCCATGAGTTTGAGGCCAGGCTGCCTAGGCTACATAGTGAGACCCTGTCTCAAAAAATAAAATAAAAAAAAAGAAAAGAAAAGAAAAGAAAAAAGAGAAGAACAATGGAACATTTTTTTCAGTAAATTTCTTTAGTTTTTTGGGGGGGGGGTACCGGGGCTCGAACTCGGGACCTTGCACTTGCGAGGGAAGTGCCAGAACCACTAAGCTAAATCCCTGACCCAGTGTTTTTTTGTGTTTTTTTTTGGTACCAGGGATCAAACTCGGGTCCTTCTGCTTTCGAGGCAGGCGGCGGAACCACTGAGCTAAATCCCCGGCTTTGTTTTGTTTTTGAGTCAGGGTCTCCCAGTGTAGCTCAGGCTGGCCTTGAACTCCTGGCAATCCTCTTACCTCAGCCTCCCAAGTGTTGGGATTACAGGCATGCACCACCACATCCGGCTGTTTTGCTTTGTTTTTGAGACAAGGTTTCACTTGAGTACTCCAGTCTGGCCTTGATTTCACTACGTAATCCCAGCTGGCCTGGAACTTGAGGCAATCTTGCCTCAGCCTCCTGAGCGCTGGCATTACAGACATGTGCCACCACACCTGGCTCATCAATAAATCTTAAATAGAAATCAGAACTTCCATTTATTATCATATTAACCCAAGAGCATATATAATTTGATAATTTCACTGCAGTGTTTGTTATATGTCAGAAACTGTGCCAGGTGCTTTACACGTCCCTTTAACCCTCACAGTGGGCTGCAGATTTAGCTCAGTGGTTCTGCCACCTACCTTGAAAGTCCAAAGTCCCGAGTTCGATCCCCGGTACCAAAATAAAAGAAAGAAACCCTTACAGCATTGTTCCTATCTACATCAGTGAGGTTCGACAATTTGCCTCCCCAGTAGCAGAGCTTAGATTCTAGCCAGGGCCCATGTACTTTGTGAGCTGCAACTCAGTTCACAGCTCCTGTTTATTCCAGTGTTACCAGAACGCTGGGGTCATGTCCTACAGTGACGAAGAATGAAACCATGGATGGAGATGGTGCAGTGCAAGCAAATGTATTTAAAAGATAGAAAGGCAAGGAAGTAAAAAATATAAAAGCAAGGAACTGAGCTCCTGCTAACTAGAGAGGGTTCTCAACAGGATGGGCCAGGCTGTTTGTCCAGGAGGTTTAAGGGGTTCAGAAGGAGCCCTGGCCATTGTGTCAGCGCCATGAGCTCTACCTCCAGGAGACTACATGCTTTTTAAGGTCCCATCTGTGCAGTGTTCACAGTGTCCACACAGGGCTGTGGACCCCTGAGCCAATGGCCCACCTGATCGTGCTCTGGGGAGGCCCCCGACAGCCAAAGGCCACTTGGCAGATGTTTCTTTAAGCTCCGTGAAGGGTCTTGACTCAGCAGACTCCATTTTGGGGGTGCTGTCCTTACTGCCTAATAGAACCCCAACTTGTCTCATTAATCCCTGGTACCCCAACATCGTGAGGGTCTCATGACTGCATCTGCAGCAGCCACAGCTCTCACCTGCAATAGGCAGTGCCTGCTGCTCCGAGAACAACTCGTACAGCCACACCGAAGGGCTGGCCTGGTGAGAAAACCACCCAAGAGGCACGAGCGTGGCTGCCCTGCCACCTACCTGATGGCTCTTCAAGGCCACAGACTCCACCTGGCAGCCACTGCCTCCCCTGGCACCAGCAAAGTGGAACCTCAAAGAGTCAACATGTCGCCTCCCACACCTCGTTCTGAACTCCTGTCTCCTAAGGACAAGGCCCATGGGCAAAGCCTAGGTCGCACATTCATTTCTGAGCGTACTTAAGAAAATTAGGGATTTTTTTCTCCTTCAAAGGTCTGGCATTCTATTGGAGGAAGCACATCTTCCCCAGATGAATCATTGTGGGCCAACTGATGGGTGACAGGTAGCCAGGCAAAGCGCGAGGGTTGTCCACTACATCCTTAAAGCAAGGCTCGCTGAGACTCTTAGGGCTGAACTGGGCAAATCATGGCATGAGTGTGGTTTCAGGATGTCCCTCAAATCTCATGTGCTGGAATTCTAGTCCCCGGGTTGAGCCGACTAGGAGGTGGGACCCTTGAAGGGGCAAGGCCTAGTGGGAGATCTTGAGTTCACTGGGGGTGTTCTGGGAAGGAAACGCACCGACTTTCACGAGAGAGCTGTTGGGACAGCCAGAGCCCTGCTCCACCCCATCTTTGTGGCTTCCTTTTTGCAGATACAATCACTCCCTCACTCCTGGGTTTCCTCTGTGATGTGATATAACCAAGAAGGCCCTCACACCAGAGCTGGGCTGATGCCAATGCTGAGCCTCTGAACCTCCAAAACTGTAAGTTAAATAAACCTCTTTTATTTATGAAGTTAGCCCTCCTTGGGTACTTAATTGTTATTAATACCAAAGGGATTAAGACAGTGTGGCTGGTTGGAAGAGTTGGGAGGACAAAGCCACAGAGCCTGACTTATCCACAGGCAACACAGGACCCAGTTGTCAGTACCAGAGGAGTCGCCACTGGACCAAACACTCCTTGCTAGACAGGCTTCAAGGACACAAATGTCTGCTTTGTCTTTCTGCACCAGGTAGGCTCCCTCCCCACAGCGGTGCATTTGGGTGTACAGTCCTGCCTCTGCCTTTGAGTAAGGTCTGTGCCCTCTCTTCAGGTCTGCAGGCGGGTGCTATACGTGTCAATCATCTAGAAAAGATGTGGGTTCTCCCACAGGAATCCAGATCATTTAAGCTGGTCTTGGCAGGAGAGAAAATCCCTACTTTGTGGGATCTGGATTTGGGGGAGTGGAAGTTTGAGCAGGGGATTTGGAGGTGCGGGGAGAAGGGACTCTGCCACCCCACGGGGCTGGGAAGTGGGCTCAGTGGCAAACTGGAAAGGGCCTCAGGGGAGGTTGTCCCATCCTAGAGACTGTCTTCCCTTCCCTAGTGCTTCCTGTCCCTTGAGGAAAGTGGTGTGTGGAGGAGCCAATCTGCCTCAGCCAGGCAGGGGGTATTATGTCATTTCTGGGGCCGTCCTTAGGCCACAAGTATAAAGGGGCTGGGTGTCCCCTGCCTGGAGCCAGGGTGGTGGCGGCAGCAGTAAAGTCAGTATCTGATGGCTATATATGAGGGTGAGATGCTCATTTGTTCCCTCAATAACAGATGTTTGAGGGCCAGGATTTAGCTCAGTGGTTCCATCGTCTGCCCCGAAAGCGTAAGGACCCGAGTTCGATCCCCGGTACCAAAAAAATAAAAAAAATTTAAAAAATAACAGATGTTTGAGGGCCAGGGATTTAGCTCAGTGGTTCCACCACCTGCCTCGCAAGTCCAAGGCACTGAGTTCGATCCCTGGTACCAAAAAAAAAAAAAGATGTTTGAGAATTCAGTGGAATGGATTCTCCTTCAGGACCTCATTAAATGTGTGTTGTATGAACCACATGTTATCAAGAGGGAAAGGTAATTCTTCTAGGAACAGCTAAATCAGCCTGAGTCAGCAGGGGCCAGGTGGCCCTGGAATGTTCCAAAAGGTGGCTGAGGCTCCATGGGGGGTCTCAGGCACATGGTCACAGGGATATCGGGAAGTGCCCAAGCATAGAGGCAGCGTTAAAGGGACTCCAGGCCCGGGAACACAGCTGCCCCTAAGAAGGCACAATGACAATGAAAAGGAAGAGTAATGCAACTGCTCTCTCGAGATTTCAATTTTAGTCCTGCGGTACCAGGAAAATTACTGAGGCCAAGATGGCAGGGAATAGAATGAGGACAAAAGCCAAGCCACACTGCTGGGAAACAGAAGCCACAGTTCTTTGAGCCACTTCCCTCAGCTTGTTGGGCCACAGGCCTTGTCTTAAAGTTTGAAGAATGCAGTGTAGATACTGGAGTCATGAAAAGACTGAAACCACAGAGTCTGATGTGTCTATTAGCGATTTCAAAAATCTCAATAACGTTGGGCCAGGGATGTAGCTCAGCGGTGACATGCCTGCCTGGCAAGTGCAAAGTCCTGAGTTCAACCCCCAGTACTGGGGGGAAAAAATAAAGCCAGACAAGGTGGCACAGGCCTGTAATATCTGCACTGAGGAAGGCTGAAGAAGGGAGACTGCAAGTTCCATTCCCCTTTGGGCAACTAGCAGGATCCCATGTCAAAATAAAACATAAAAAAACTGGGGATGTAGCTCAGGGTTAAGTGCCCCAGGTTGGATCCCAGTACCGCCAAAAAATAAAATCAATAAATTATCACTAAACTGAAAAGATGACAGTGAAAATTAACAAAGGTCAATGCTGAGGTGTTTAATTCCAATTCAACAAACTCTGACAAACTGGCTCAAATCCTTTCTCTGGCCTAAAATTTGGGTAAATGAATCTGTTTTTACGTAAATGAATTTCCCCTCTCAACATAAAGACTCTATATCACAGTCAGATTTGATATCATTAATAAAAATTATTTTTAAAACCCATTTGTTTAGGTGGTCAGCCAAAAATATGGTTATTATGATTAGCTGTTTATACAAAAATGGAGCATTGAATAACCATTAAAGTAACTTTATTATTATAGACATTTACAAACATAAAGTGCATTGTGCTGAAATTAAGTGTTCTGGCAACCTTACCCTCCCATTGGCCAATACTGGAAATAGTTTCATTCATGTTTACTGCAACATATTGAAGACTTTTATATCCAACTCCAATTTTTTAACAAAATTCACTGAATTACAGACTTCTAAAATGTTTTGGAACAATGGCTAAAGCTGTATTACTGAGTTGGGCACGGTGGCATGTGCTCATAATCCCAGCACTCAGGAGGCTGAGACAGAAGGATCACTGCAAATTCGAGGCCAACATGGGATACACAGTGAATTCAAGACCAGCCTAAACTACATAGTGAGACCCTGCCACAAAGATAATAAAGCTATATTTCATACTGTTCACAATTTTATTTACAGTAATAAGTACTATTATAGAAGCCAAATGATAACTGATTGAATTTTTAAAATTATGCCAACTAATGTCCCATTATCTAAGCAAAAAGGCTTCAAATTTCCTTTTGACAATGTAGGTTTATTTTTTGATTTAACTATCACACACTTTATAAAACAACTTGTTCTTTTCAAATCAAGAGTGTTGGGTGGCATGCTTCTGAGTTACATCTATGCCAAAGCATTCTAGAAACAGACCAGTTATTCTTCATCACCTTCTACTTCCTCCTAGGTGCCCAATTCGGTGGCAAAGCAACTATCCAAGTCTTTAAAAGTTAGACTTTTCCCTTTCTTCCTTCCAAGACAGGATCTCACTATGTAGTTCAAACTGGCCTTGAACTCATTATGGAGCCCAGGCTGGTCTCAAACTCATGGTGTTCCTCCTGCCTCGACCTCCTAAGTACTGGGATTACAGATGTGCACTACTACACTGGGCTAAACATTAGATTTTCTGGAATGGACAGGACAAAATAATCTCCTGAATTTCAATCTCTTGTCATTAGTCAAAGATACAAATGAAGAAAATTCAGATACTATATCTTGTCTTTATTTATTAAAGGGTCCCTAAGGCAGGTTAGGTCCAAGACAGTAAACTGGATTTTCATATCACTCAAAAGCCTCTGAAGAGTCTGATTTAACTGGACAAGACTTAAGGAATTTTTTTTTTCGGTACCGGGGATTGAACTCAGGACCTTGCGCTTTTGAGGCAGACAGTGGAACCACTGAGCTAAATCCCCAGCCCACTTAAGGATTTCTAATTCAACTAACTTGCCTGATTATTTCTGCAGCCAATGCATAATGAAAGTAGGCAAGAAAAAGTACAACATAGATGTTTGACATTTTTTTCATTCAGTACCCAGAGAAGGCCTTATAATAAAAAGTGCCAGCAATCAAACTAATTTCCTGATCTTAACCTTTTCACCCATATAGATCTTCTAAAAGTCTTGAAACAGTTTTGAGTTTTAATACGTAGAACTGCAGCAAACTTGTAAAAATGACAGGTCATTTGGAGGTTTAGTCAGTTACATTTTACCATACTTCTTCAGTTTTGTTTTGCTAATACATATTCAGGAATTTTGTTATTGTTGAAGCACCTGTGTTTGACAATGGCAAATCGTAACTGCTTCTAAGTTATTAGAGCCTAAAACTACACTAAGACTTTTTGAATACCTTGTACGATTCCCAAGTCTGATCTCAGTTCTAGCTCATTTCACCTAACTACGGACACCTAAACTCTGAAATGGCCCGTTTCCTTTAGACGTGAGATCTTTTCTTTTGCTATATTCGTATGAGCAGAGCTGATCAAAATTTCTCCGACTCAGGGCCGGAGATTTAGCTCAGTGGTTTCGCCGCCTGCTGCGCAAGCACAAGGACCCAAGTTCGATCCCTGGTACAAAAAAAAAAAAAAAATTTCTCCGACTCAGTTGCTTAGCTTTCTCACACATCACTGGAGTGTGAGGAGTTTTCTGACAACTACAAAGGCACCTAAGTAACCCAGCCTTTATGTCTGATGTCAACTGAAAATGAATTGGAGCAGTACTGTGATAGCAAATATTCCGGCAGTCATATTTTAATAAATTTCCAGAGATTTATCAAGTTAAAAAAACCTGTCTTGACTCCAGGGGTTTTCTCTTCTCCCTGATTAATGTCATTTGAGCTTTTATCTGCGATTTCTTTTGTTTTGATAAGAGTCTCGTATATTTTCTGGGCTCTGATAATTTCTTTCTGTGCATCAAAATGGACTTTTTGCCTGGTCAGAATGGGAACAATTAAATTAAAGTCATTAATTCGCTTGTTTAGATTTCTGATGTTTTCTTTCAAGTGTTCACAAGCTTGGTTCCACTGCTTCTGTTCTGTTGGCATCATTGGATTCCCAAGTTTTTTTCTAGACTCTAAAATTGCCTCTCTGAGTTGCTCAATAGTATCATTTATTTCCTTTTGCATTAGGATCCATTCTGGTTGGTATCCATTATCTATCAATATTCTGTTCAGGTTGTGGGTCATGGGATCAATATATGAACAGCCAGAAAACTTATTTAGAGGTTTTCCTTTCCCAGTGAGATTGTCAAAGTCTCCTTTTGCCATTGATTCCTGAATGAGGTCCTCCACTAAACGCTCTATTGCTTGAGTTATCTTTTGTTCTCTGCTCTGTCTTACATCTTTAATAGTTACACTATTAGCAAAATGCTGCCTTTGCAGCTTCTGCTTTTGATATTCCATCACTTGCTCTGTTGCACGGTCTGCCCTGAATTGCCTATATTGCTTCTCTCGCTGACTCGGAGTTCCAAAACCAACACCTTCAAAACTTAAATAATGCCGGTGCTGGGGTGTGTTGTATTTGAATTTTTCTTCTTCTTCTTCTGTTTCTTCCACTTTATTCTGTTTGCCATTTGTTTGCTCTATCACATGGGAAAGGACATTCCTATAGGCTTCTTCGATTCTTATAAATGTTGCAGAGTCTGCGGCACTAGAGCTGCTGTCTGGATGGTATTGCTTGGCAAGCTTACGAAAAGATTCCCGGACATCTTCTACAGAGCATCCTTCTTCTAGATTCAGCAGCCTATAATATTCTCCGATCTTCTTTTTGGATTTATGGGTTGATATCATTCTATTTCTAATGGCACCAAGACAGGAAAGCATTTTCACTTGATCCAGAATCAGTGAAGAATTTATCAGGTGAGTTCTTAAGAGCCAAGCCATCATTCCACACACTGTGTTCATTATTGTACCCAGTGTTTTTAATGATCTGTAAAACAACACAGGTTGAACAAAGTTGTATTATCAATTAATTTCTTACTTTCAGTAACAGGATGTGAAGTTACAAGTACGGTTTTTTCTGATGCTGCTGCCAAATTCTTATAGCTGTATTCCACTAATTAGTGGAGAAATGAAGATTGATGATGTTTAGCATTAACATATTGTGAGATAATCTGGATTCCACTCCTCATTAACCACAGAATTTTAGAACTGGAAAGTTCTTAAACATTGCCCAACTCAATCTCCTCATTTTATGAGAAAATATAGGTCCAGAATGTTAAGTAGCCTATCCAAGTCACACTGATGAGGTGTCAGCCTCATTAAAAAAGTCAAGGACAAGACACAATAAGAATGTTTGCTTAATTACATCTTCAACAGATTATAAATTTCATCAGCACCGTTTTTTGGTGACTGCATCATGGTCTTCATCGTTTCAAGTAGTTTTTTCATAAGACTTATCGACATGAAACAGAACACTGGAAAGTATATACCTAGTCAGATTCTAGGTTGAACAGAATTAAGAGTCAAAAAAACTTTAGGCTTCACAGCTCATTAGGAAGGAGCTGGGCCGGGGATTTAGCTCAGTGGTTCCAGCGCCTGCCTCACAAGCGAAAGGTCCCGAGTTCGATGCCCTGTACCAAAAACCCCCACAAAAAACCCCAGCAAGGAAGGAGCTATTTGCTAGGTACCGGGATGAAAGGTAAGCGCCTCCCCAAATATTCGATGCTATGTAGTAAAATGTATGGTTCTGGCCGGACGTGGTGGTGCACGTCTTTAATCCCAGTAGTACTCCAGAGGCTGGGGCAGGAGGATCGCAGAAAGTTCAGAGCCAGCCTGGACTACGTAGTGAGCGCAAGGGCAGCCTAAACTACACAGGGAGAGCTTGTCTCAAAAGACCAAAATAAAATAAAATGCATGGCCCTACAGAGATGAAAGACTGGTTTGGTATACATACAATGGCAACGACATATTGAAATGGACTAACTGGGAGTGGGAGTTTCATATGTAAACGTTAAAACAGACCTTCCACGAACAGTTGGGATCCATGGATTGTAGAGCTCGCTGGGATGGATGTACTTAAATCTATGGCGGCGGTTACAGATGAGCGTCGGCCAAGGAGGGAAACGCTCCCCTCCCGCCCTCTACTCACCTTCACCGACCCAGGAAAGGGGGTCGGCGGCTGCTGACCCCATGCTTCGCTCTGCGCAAGCGTGCGCGGCTCGCCTGTCCTGTGGCCGGTATCTGCGCCTTGGCCAGCAGGTGAGTCGCTGCTGGGCTAGACCATCTGCAGCTCTACACGGGGGGTGGGTGCAGAGACCTTACCAGGGATACTGGTAATCTCGCTTACTTCGGACTTTCCCCAAGAGGACACAAAAAGGACGTGTGTGAGGCTCCGTGCCCCGCCGGGCGACCAGTTCCGTCTCCGCCCCCTCCCCGAGGGCAGTTGGCTCGGCCGGGTGGGGCTGGGAATTGTGGGAATTGTAGTTCTCGGTCCGGTGCGGCGCAGCGCCTCGTGGGAAAGACCTGGACTCGTCTAAAGTGGTACGGAGGTCGTGGGCGTGGACGTCATGCCTGTCATCCCAGCCATCCCAGCTCTCTGGAGGCTGCGCGAGGAGGCCAGCTAGAATTACGTAGGGACACCGTGTCTCAAAAACATAAATAAGCCAGGGATTTACCTCAGTGGCGCCACGCCTGCCTCGCAAGCGCAAGGTCCTGAGTTCGATCCCCGGTACCACCCCTCCCCCAAAAACCCCATAAATACATTTTAAAAAATTAATTCAGAGGCAGGAGGGCATGGTCGGGCAGATTTAGAACCTCCAAAGCCTCCAATGTGCAGGACAGTGGATTTTGGTAACTTGTTTTGAAAAGAGGAAGATTAGGCCGTTTGCCGCCAGAGGACCTGGGTAGCCCCTTATGGTCTATGGAAGAGGACACCTGCGCACGTGTATCAGTGATTTTGCCCGAGATCACGAAGCTGCTCGGTGCCTACCCCGCCTCAGAAAGCTGTTTTGTTGTGGGTTTTATTGTTGTTGCTTGTTTTGTTTTATTTTTTGGAGACAGTCTCACTGTGTAGTGAAGTCTGGCCTTGACCCCATTATGTATCCCAGGCTGGCCTCGAACTCGCAGTGATCCTCCTGCCTCAGGCTCCCCAGTCCTGGGAGTACAATCGTCGTCCCCCCCCGCCCCCCCCCGCCCGGCTCATTCAGGCCAACCTTGAACTCCTAATGTAGGCCAGACAGGGCTCAAAAATCGAGGCGATCCTCCTGCCTCAGCCTCCCAAGTGCTAGGATTACAGGCAGGCACCGCCATGCCTGGCTTCACAAATCTTTAATTTTGAGGTACTGGGGATCAAACGTAGGTCTATGTGCTTGCTAGGCAGGTGCTCTACCACTGAGCTAAATGTTTCATCTCTTAATTTAGCACATATTTATTGAGCAGGTTATGTGGCCAGGCATTGGTAGGAGGTTGAGGACAGGCTGGAGAAGAAAACGAAGAGCCTGCTTCAGTGTAACCACTGTCAGAATGAAACATCTCCTTCCCAAGCTGTACAGGGAGCAACTTTTTGTTTGTGTTTAGAGAAAAAGGGAGAGACTTGGTAATTTTCAGACCTGGTTTGAAATCCTTTTTCTTCCATTTTCCACGTACCTTAGGCAAGACACTTGTTTGCCTATCTGTAAAACAAAGGCACCAGTAAATAGTAAATTGTGTATTTAACATTTACATTTGCCAGACCCAATATTAAGTGCTTTATGTATGTTCTTGTAATCTTTACAACAGCTGTGTGAAGTAAATACTATTCTTTCCTCATTTACCCATGAGGAAACCACTGCATTGAGCTCACTGTTTGGTTTGTTTTTGCTTTTTGGTTTGGAGAGAATTACACAATGTAAATCAATTGGCACAGACCTGCTGCATGAAGCAGTACTTTTTGTTTCCGTTGTGCCTCTCAACGGAGCCAGAAATGGTCACTAGCATTTCTAAGCTTCTGAGCTATAAACAATAGAATCATATTCTTTCTGTGGAAGGGGCACTTTCAACTGCAAAGTGGAAACCAGCTAACCCTAGCTTGGGTAATTTTTCTCCTGTAGTGGTGGGGACGCATCCCAAGAAATAGTGATTTCCTCTTTGCACAAACATAATTTTTTTTTGAGAGAGAGGGTCTCGCTATGTAGCTCAGGCTGGCCTCAAACTCCTGGCAGTCCTCCTGACTCAGGCTCCCAAGTGCTGGGATTTCAGGCGTTGCACCATTATGCTTGACATGAACCTAAATGATAAAGAGAGGTCAGTCATCTGTCGATGCCTCTCCACCCCAGCAGAAGGCTTGGTAACACAGTGCATGTGGCTGCTGCCAGTATAATGTGGCATTCAGATTCACATGCAAACTTTAAAAACATTTTTTTTTAGGGCTGTGGATTTAGCTCAGTGGTGTCGCTGCCTGCTTTGGAAGCACATGGTCCGAGTTCGATCCCTGGAACCAAAAAAAAAAAAAAAAAAAGAGCGAGGCAGGAGGATCACTGCAAGATTGAGGCCAGCCTGTGCTACATAGTGACTTCAAGTCCAGCCTGAACTACCTAGCAAGACCCTGTCTCAAAAAGAAAAGAAAAACAACAACTTTTTTTAGTAGGTAAAAGTGTATACTCTAGAGTCGTGGTAACAAGGATAGCATAGTAAATACATAAGACAGTCATTTGTCAGCATGATCTAATCTTGCACAGTGTGTGAGTGCATGTCCTGTACGTTTACAGAGCCGGCAGCGCAGTAGGTTTGTTTGATGTGACCTCACTAGGCGAGGGGGATTTTCAGCGGTTACAGCATCATGCACTCCACTGGTGCACATTTCTGCCTGAGAAGTGTGGAGATAAGTGCTGCTGCCATTGGCTCTCCACTGCTGAGAGTCTGAACATATGTCTTACCATGCTCGTCCTCCATGGGTATGTTTTTTACTGAGTAATTTAAAAGCTAATTGCATACATCATGTCCCTTTACCCCCTCCCCAAAAAACTTAGTATCTCTTCAAAACAAGGACATCCTATTTTTCTTTCTTTTTTTTTTTGTTTAAATTCTTTTATTGGTACATTTTAGGTATACAATAGGTTTTCATTTATCATTGGGTGCTTGTACCTGAGCATGATGTATCTTTGTTCTTATTTTTTTCCCCATTACCTGTGCTCCCTTCCCCTGCCTCCACCCTTCCCTATTTACATAGACTTCATTTCCATTTTTTCCTTTTCTCATAATTTTTCCTTTCCCCTTCCTCTCCTACTTCCCCTATCCCTCTGGACCTTTTCTTCCTATTTCCTTTATCAATGATTCATTTTAATCATTTTAATTCTTATTTACACTTTCAGTTTCTCACACTAGAGAAAGTATTCGGTATTCACACATGTGTGTCCTATACTCTTTTTCAATACAGATACATATTATCCAGTCTACAGTCTAGTACTGTAATTTCACTAATTGTCCTAATGATACTCCTGAGAGCAACATATGGACTCCTCCATCAGCAGGTCAAATGAGTGGTGAAACATTTTTGTACAGTTCAGTTGTGGGCAGAAAGAGCCCCATCATCTAAAAATATAACTTTTTTTTTGGTACTGGGAATTGAACCCAGGACCTTGGCACTGAGCTACATCCCCAGCTCTTTTTTATTTTTTGAGACGAGATACAGCTGAGTCACTGAGTTGCCCAGACTGGGCTGGAATTTATGATCTTCCTGCCTCTGCCTCTCTGCTGAGATTCAAGTGTGCACCACTCTGCTCAGGTCAGCAACCAAGTATGGTTGGAAGCTGGCTGAGGCTGGAAGATCTCAAGATTGGGCCCAGCCTGGGCAGTTTAGTAACTTAGCAAAGGGGGTGAAAAGTGGCACTGCAAAGGTAACTCCTTTTCTCTTTGGGCTTCCAGATGGCTTATAATTTCACACTTTGACCAGTGACTAAGTAAAGCAAGCACAGGCTCTGTTTTAATCCATTTATATTTTATTTATTTTTCTTTCATTTGCTGGCTTCGTTGTAACTGCAGAGAAGTTGACTGGCTTCCAGTAAATTGTGGTGCCATAGTAACCAAAATCCACACTTCTTGTGGACTAAGTCCAGCACACAGCCAAAAGGCATAGATTGTCCATCAGTGTTTGCAAATAGTGTTGCCTGGTGCTACAATCCCTAGAACCACATGAATAAGCTTCCTTCTCTGGGTTCCATCTCAACTCCTTTTCTACTCTATGAGGTGTGATCAAAAACTACAGTGAATGTTTAAATTAAAAATAATTTGTTAGGGGCCGGGGATTTAGCTCAGTGGTTCCGGCGCCTGCCTTGCAAGCACAAGGTCCCGAGTTCGATCCTCAGTACCAAAACAATTTGTTAAAGTAAAAGACACATTGCCATTAATCTCTTTTAAAATCCTCCCCCTGCTGGATATGGTGGCATATGCCTGTGATCCCAGCACTACTGAGGCTGAAGCAGGAGGACCATTGTGGTTTAGGGCCCCCTGGGACACATAGTGACTCAAGGTCAGTGTGAACTATGTAGTGAGACTCTGTCTCAAAAACTGAAACAAGGGCCAGGGATTAGCTCAGTGGCACCGAGCCTGCCTGGCAAGCGAAGGTCCTGAGTTCCATCCCCAGTACAAAACAAAACAAAACAAAACAAAAAACGGAAACAAAAGTACCAGATTAAGTGGGACAATATCCTGCCCTTATCCTGAAGCACTCCTTGGCAGAACCCAAGTGGATGTCTGAAACATGGGTAGTACTGAGACCTGTATGTACTATGTTCTGTTTTTCCTATGCACATACACCTTTGATAAAGTATAATTTGTAATTTAGGCACAATAAGAGACAATAATATCTAATAAAAGTGGATTAACTCTAACGATATACTATAATAAATTGCCAGTATTATACTCTTGTGCTTGGAAGCCACTAAAACAAGGGTTTCTTGACCAGAAGCACTGTGGTACCACAGTAGGGCTGGTAAGCAAGAGGGCTACAGATACGCAGGCATTGAACACTCCAGGCAAAGGGGCGATTCACAGACCAGGCAGAATAGAGCACAAAGGTGAGAGGTTTCACCACAATACTCAGCATGGAATAACATTTAAAACTTATGAATTTTCTATTTCTGGAATTTTTTTTTTTTTTTTTTTTTGGAGACAGGGTCTCACTATGTAGTTCAGGCTGGCCTTGAACTCATTATGTAGCCCAGGCTGACCTCAAGCTCAATGTGATCCTCCTGCCTCAGCCTCCTGGAGGGCTGAGATTACAGATATTCGCCACCACACCCAGTTTATTTCTGGAATTTTCTGCATGATATTTTCCTACCTGCTTGGCCAGGGTTAACAAGCCACAGATATGAGACTCCTGCTATACAAGAACATCCTGAAATATGGGTGTAGGAGGGAGAAGAATCACGCTCATCTGTACGTTTGCCCCTTCTACCA